AGACCCTCGGCACGGCAGCGGTGCTGCTGCGCCTCCGCCGCCTGAGCCCCCTTCCCGCCGGAACGGGTCCCCCTTTTGCTTAAAACAGTGGCGGCAGCGGGGGCCGCGCAGCCTCTTCTCCTCCTTCTGCACACGCAGATGCGCCGTCACCCCGCACCGTCACCCACCTCTAGCCAGCGGGGTGGCACCGGGGGTTAAGTGGGGAAGCAGGCAGTCTTAAAGTACCTACCAAGGCAAAAACTAACAATAAAGGCGCTTAAATCCTTTTTCTTTTTTTCCTTTTGGCTCGCGCTTTTATGTGCCCTCGTTTTTGAGCCAATATAAGGTACTGCGAGGTAAATGGGCCAAGCATGCTACATAAACCTTTAAAAAAAAAAATAGAAAAATGTTAAGTCACTTAGAGGAATTCCCTGCCCAGAGCGTTACTGCAAAATCCTATTTAATTTGCTGTGTGCTTTACACTCTCTTGCAGGTGCTAAAAAGACAGAAAGAAAAAACCTCAGTCACAAATCATTCTCTGATTCAAAATGGAAGCTCACGGCCCTGCAGCTGTCTTCGTGTGGAGCTCACGGTCCTCCATTACCTGGAGATACCACCTGGCACACAGCAGAACAGCATAGCCTTCTGCTTTAGCTCTGTTTTTAGGGTGAGGAGGGGGTGCATTTCGGAATGATATCCTCTGGAAGACGGGGGAGCTGTGATGAGGGCCATAAGTAACGGCCAACTTGTTTTTGCTGCTTTCTCAACCCACCACGATGTCACCAGCTACCCGCTTTTCAGCCAGCCTGAGAGGGAGCACTCACAGCCCCCGTGGCCCCTTCTCCATTTGCATTCACCTCCCCTTTCCACCTCTGGCTCAGAAGTTCCACCCAGAAGGAGGATATTCTGGAAGTAGCTGTATTTATCAGTACCAGCAGGGTTGGATTTCCTAAAATCAAGGTGGGCAGGTAGGAGAACTAGCCATTTCATCACTGCCTGCAATTCAGGCAACATCTGTTACAGCATTTTGCTCTTTTTCACCTTAGCAGCTGAAATGTTGCAGCCACCACAAGCTCTCTGATCAGAGGAAAAGTGATTGAAGAGAGGACGCGTTCCCCACCGCCTTGTCCTCATTCGAAGGGGGGTGGATGGAGAGATTGCTGAATGCTGACAGAGACGAGACGGCAAACGGATAGTCACATGGACCCTGGTTCAGGAGGTGCGAACAATTCAGAGAACAAGGTGTTTCTGTGGTCAGGGACTGAATCACAGTGTACTTCACCACTGATAATTCTGCATTTAGGTCATATCACTCGCTTCGAGAATAGGCTGTAAGAGGCCCTTTCTCAGGTATTGACCATCACAGACCAACCGAGAACAGAACTCCAGACAGATCACTCAAGACTCTCACCTAGAATGGGACAAGTCCTTCTGGACTGCCCCATTTCTCTAGACACCACTTTTTTTTAAACTCAATTCTTTATACGCTTGAAGGTAACTTCAAAAGAACAAGTCTATCACACCCGTTGCGTTTTGCTTTTCACTTTTTTAACTGCTTTTAACTTTGCACATTAAGTGTTCATTAACACCATCCACATTTAAATTGGCGTATTTGTTACTGTTCACTTCGTTTAAACAACTGCTTTTACACTTGTGGCTGAGCGTCAAATAGTTGAACTTCCAACCATCAATATCATCCACCCTAAAAAGCAGCACTCCTAAATCAAATGGGGGAAAAGTCCTTACACAGCTACACAAACACACATGCAGCAGCTGTGACTGTCTTGTCCCCAAACAGACGTACGGGTCACGAGCATCACACCTCACCTCAGGGCAGGAGCACAAGGCACTCCCGATCCATGGACCAGAAGGGGCAGCAGCATTTCAGAGAGCTCCATGTGCTCTTTCCAGTTATTTTCTCCTTCCACCTGTCAGCAGGACCTTCTTTCCAGCCACAGCGACTGCTCAAATCACTGTGAGCAGCCGTTGTACAGGTATTGCCCAGCCCCAGGCTCTTTCATCTAACTTTTACTCTCACAGAGCAAAATAGCAGCAGAATATCCAGCTGTTCAGAGCATTGTTGGGTATTTCCTTTGTTTCATTCACATTTCCAGTAAAACACTTAGAAAAAAAAACCAAAAAAACCCACAACCAACCTGAGAAGATGGCTCTCCTGGAACAGCTATTGTTCACTATGGGCACTGAAATAAAGTATTTTTTTGGCGCCTCGCTGCCCTCAAAACCCTGGTGCCATAGGCTACACTGTAGCACTTCTTGCTAGCACCAAGAAGCCAGTGCAGGGAAGCAACAAGCTTTGGGGGAGCAAGACGACTTTTCTCACCAGAATCACTGGCAAGCGGGTGTACGAGCATAGAGGGAGAGCAGCAGGTGCAAGAACATTTTTGTTTATTTTTTAAATGGCACTAGATAACGGGAAACTCACCTGCTCAAAGCTGGTAGCTGCCTCCAGGCTCATTTTTTGTGGACCCGTGACCTGGCAGGAGTAACAGCGCTTATCTCCTTGTTAGAACAACTCCAAGGGTTGATCAGCCAACTCCATTGCTGTTTGCTCCAGGGAGGCTGCTGTCAGGAGCGGCAGATTTCTGTAAAGAAACAGTCATTCCCTCGCCTACACCGGGAGCTGGTGCAGCTGCACACAGCCCAGCCCCTCAAGCAAACGCTGCATCGGTTTTTAAGCAAACCCTTGGCGCTGTGGTCATCCATGTCAAAATGTGGTGAGATTTCCCAGCTGCAACTCTGAAACACAGGAGAGCAAAGACAGACCCCGCGGAGCTGACCATGTACCTCCTCGTGCAGCAGTTATGGGTGGCTCAGCGTGGGCCCAAGCAATGGGCAGAACCACCCCCCCTCCAGCCAGCTAACTTTTTGATGTAGCGGAGAGAGAGGAGAAGGCCCGTGGGGGTTCACGCAGTGCCTACACCACCGGGGTACTACGATATCCCTGGAGCCTGCCTATGAGTTCCCAAAGCAGGCCCAGCCACCCCGGTTTCTAGCATCCTTGCTTCAAAAGCAGTTGCTTGGTGAGCAAAACGCTGGGAAGAGAAGGACCAAGAGCAGGGAAGGCGAGTGGCGCTGAACAGAGAGGAGGTGACTGCCAGTTTCCTGGCAGCACTTGCCACACACACTGCGTTTCACTCCATGCTTCTCAACAGAGAGCGTCGAGCTGCTCAAACCGTGCGGTTTCCCCTTTCGGGGGTTTCCCCTCTCGGGTGCTGCCTACTGTAGCAGGGGCCCCGGGGGCACGTCCTGAGGCACAGCTGAGCGCCCTGGTTCTCAGGCATCCTATCAGGAGAGCTGCGCAAGGCCAGCCGGCTGCACTGCACGGATCAGAGGGGCAGCATAGCAACAGATTATTAAAAAAAAAAGCGCTATCCAGATTAACCTTTAATCCAACCAACACATGCATGCGAAAGGACAAGCCATTATGAGTTTCTAGTGCCAGCCAGCCTCTGCAGCATTGGCAGGGGTAGGAAGAAACAATCTCCGGAGTAGGTTTTCCCGTAGCTCTGCACTGCAGTTTCTTACAACTTCACCTGACTCACTAGCTGCTGCCAGAACGTTAGCGGCTGGCTGGAGTCCTGCTCCGATGCCATCACTCAAATCCAGCCTGCCTGGCTCAGGGCAAGCAGGCTGACTGCGCTTCGGTAACGCAGGCAAGACCTAACTGTGCTGCCTTGAGCCACGACCGACTCAGGAAACACACCCCACCCCCCTCCGCTTTTGCTCCGCGTGCTTTTGTGATTGACGTCATAGCTGCGTTCGGATGCAGGGCTCACCCCCACGTTACATTTACTAAAGACATCTCACACAGCCCCATTCGCTTCCTGAGGTGCCTCGATCCCCTCCACAGAGGATGGAGAGGCACCCACCCTGAGGGAGCAAGTCAGAAACCAAAGTGGCCTAAATGATACTGTGGGATTCTCTCCACGGAGTATCAGCAGTCCCAGGATTCAGGCTCCTCGGCTAAGCCCTGCGTTACCTGCAGTGAATCAGGGGACGAACTCGACCCAGGAGCTGCTGTGCTCCCAGGGAGCTCCTTGGAAGCCCTGCAGGCCAACCCACCGGAGGCTTTGGCTTGGAGGAGAGCAGGCTTCCTCGCTGGTAACCAGTGCGGAGCGTGTTTGGCAGCCCAGGCCTCGCCTCAGATTTTCTCCGTTCCCACAAGAGACGCGGGATATGGGGCACACCAGCACTCTCCTACGGATGGTGCCGGCAGAGCTGTCCTGGCACTGCGGCATTGTGTGAGGACGTCAAGAACTCCCTAAACCCAGAGCAGCAGTCACCCTGCCATCGGCATTCTCCTCTTCAAATTCTAATCCATCAAAGATCAACCATCCCAGGTCACCTCTGTACAGCTCTAACTTACCCAGTGGGTTAAAAATTAATAAAAACCTAACCTCCTCGAATCAAAGTAATGAGTAATGTCAGAAACAGCCTTTTGCAGGCTCCATTCTTCATTGATCCTTCTTTACTGATCTTTATTATGCACGCACACACGTTTTCCATTCTTTTTCCAGCCACACTGCATGTTTATACCAACAGAAGTGACTGGCGGAAAATAATTCAGCTGTAGAATTAAAGCTAGGCGAGGTAAATGACCACACAAACAGACCCATAGGTAAATGTCAGTTCTCATATTTAATATTTTAATAATTTTGTTTGCAACATTTACCACATAAATCATCTAAATAAATAGATGCTGTACAGTCTCTTATCCATATCAGTACAAAAATAAAACCACACTTTGTGTCAAATTATACTTGAGCCTTCCCTCCCTTTGCTATCACAATCTCCTTTTACAGCACATACTCGCTCAGAAAAGGCATTATACTCCGATTGGTTTGTTTGGAATTGGTTTACTCCCTATTTCCCCCCCTCCCCAAATACATTCAATTAGTCTGTACAAAAGCTAGAAGCTCATTCTGTGCAAAAGGAAGCTTTCTGTGTGCAAAGACTCAGATACTCTAGCGTGCCGACAGGAACAACAGCAACAACTGAAGAGACGAGAACAAAAATAATTGGGGACCCTCCCCTCTAACTGACCCCATCCCCCATCTCCCCCCCCCAACAGAAGGGAAGCATACCAAATTAGACGAGTCAGTCTGCAAAAGAGTCCAAACGATGTGCGTACGTTGAGGGAAAAGGTTGGTGCTGAAAACCCAGCGAGAGAACTGGGGTTCCCCCAGCTGTAGAGCTTGCTAGGTGAGGAAAAGTGATTCTCTCATCTTAGCCTGCTCAAAAGGTTCTTAAGATATGCAGAACAAAAGCTTCATCTAAATTATTTTAGTTCTTTTGTTGCCGTTCTGTTGAAGATGAGGTGAGGAAACGGCCTCCGGAAAAATCCAGCAGCTACTGAAGACAGCTCCTGGTTCACCCTCCCTTCCTCTCCCCACTCCCTGTAGGACAGATGTCTCCCCGTTACTCAAATAAGCTAATAAGGTGCAATTTTTCAGACAGGAAACTCTACAAAGATGTCTCCAGAGCTGGAAGAAGTGATCGTAGTTCCAGACTAGGACCACTCAAACTGAAACTCAACTTCATTTTTCCCTTTCCTCAGACAAAGGAGGCGGGGAGGGAGGAAGCCAACCTGCACCCTGAAGGTGAGCGAGGGACTTCGCACGTCTCCCCCCCTCCCTTAGGGAGCCCTCCTTTAGTTGGCACGG